GGTCAACTCAAAACCTGGCTCGACTCAGTCCGTCAGGACATGGAAATGGTTCCTGAACCTCCGGCGCTGGAGAAGAGACTGGGTAGAGTTCTCCAGATCCGCTGCCACCAATCGTCACGCATGGAGATGTACCGTCCATGGCATCATCGAGGCAGGCTAGATCAGGCATGATCATAGCCGTAGCAAGTAAGTAATCATTTACAATCAAAAACGGTTCATTCCTTTGATTCACCCATTGTGCAATATGCTGCGTGCTGTATTCTGTCCTGGTCGAGTGAAAGATGCTATATTAATCTAAATTCACAGTTTAAACACAGTAAGGTCTTGGCTTGGTCGAAGTACACACGGTTTTCAATAGATTTCAGGCTCCTGAGAATTCTTGCTTCTCTCTTAAACTGGTAACTGCAGCATCAATCTGTACGATAGTAGTCCGCATTGATAATACAGAGTAACCCCGCTATTTTCATCACTGTTCTGAATTCTTCCAGTGTTTGTAGTTGTTCTAGCGATTGGACGGGTAACCCTCAAAATGGCTGCGCTCAAGTCCGTTACTATAGACCAGCTAGTTATAATTTACCAGTACTCCTGTTAGAAACTGCGATCTGTTTGCTAATTTAGTTTACATACTAAAATTGCATGCCCAAAACAAAGGTTTGTTTTGTCGTGGCTCCCTGAAAAATTGATCCGCGAACTTTAGGCAAATACGTTGGAATAAGCCCTTCTAGGTCTTATTCTAAGCTGGGTAGAAAGGCTTTGATAATGACGGTAATAACAGATAAACAGAAATCCTGTGCTCTCAAGCTAAACACAAATGGTAATCATAGGTGGTTGCGTAGCTTATCCGTGCTGCTGTCACAGGTGCTGAGGTGGCGCTTGGGATGTCTACGTTATGCCGAAGGATATGTGCTAGGGATGGAACAATTACATCGCGAGGAAGATCATGCAGCAGACGCCGAAATAACTCCCTGTAGGGGAGCCGTCAGAGATTTCCCAGACAAGATGTACAATAAAAATCATATACGGACACATTTAAACCCCTCTAAGTGCCCTCAAATCGACCAAGGTGTCTGGAAAACGGAGAGAGCCTAGAGCAGCTGTCCTCGAGATCAAGGCGAGATGACAGGCAAACCGTCAAATCCCAGCCTCCTTCGATATGTTTCCACTTCCCGCGCACGTTCAAAGTTCCAAAGGGTCTCGATTCAAAGCCAATAGTGGACCCCATCGCATGCGACGGTCGAACTATCGGTACATGCCCATGAGATAGGTCGATACCCATAATACTAATGAAAATGTCAAACTTATTGCCATTTACGTTTAGTCTGAACATATTTTCGAGAAATATATATTTGCACGTGGTTTACAGACCGCCGTAATGTATAAGTCACAAGTTGTGATAATCTGTTCGTCCAACCACGACTCCCCAGCTTCGACAAAGCACTCAAGCATGGCTAGTGTATGTCACATCCCCGAGTTTCTTGAAAAAATGAATTGAAAAATTTTTTATCGCTTCGGTGATACTAGCAGAGAGTATTATATGTTGCATTAAATGGTTGGTTGTGTAACTAGGCCTCCGGATATGGTGAACATGCAGGATATAACGGAAGTTGATTGCTTGTACATTTTGCATGTTACATGAACAGCTTTCCTAAACAAGGCATCGTAACAAAGCAGACGACAAGAACTAATCCGCTGAGAAAGCTGTGGCAAAAAAGCACGATGCCAGTTGGCCCCAGTATTATAATAACCACGTCACTTAGAGTATTCTTCTGGTCGAGATTATGTCAACCTTATAATCGCAAGGTTATATATGGAAGTGTATCGTAAAAATAGTATTTGCCAGTGGATATTTTTCAGGCAAGGCGAAACGCTGCATCACTGTATATTAGTACTTCCTTTGCGATGGGAAAATCTCCAATGCATTTAGAAAATAGTAGACACAAAGAAGGCATGATAAAGTTACGAAATTTATTTACAAGTTGTGGGGAAGACAAGTGATTAAACGATTGTATCTTCGCTGCGAATGTACTCTCCGATGTCTGCCTGATGAAACGCTATAATCGTCATTGGATCAGTATTCTTCATTTGTGATGTTGATTTAGCGGCCACGCCAAATCCCTAAGGCAATGTAGAAGATTATGTCACCACTTACCAGAGGAATGTCGTTCATACTCATTATAACGACGCCTTGATACTGAGGGATGTCCTCGGAAACGCGCGCCAAGCCTGACTTTAATACATGCTGTCCATAAAGGAAGTGCTGCTCGGCCGCGGGCTTTACCCATATCCGATTCTTCGTATAGGGAGCGAGATAGGGAAGCGCAGTTATATGTAGACGAAATTTGCCTCCCTTTGAGAATTTACCGAAACAAGTCCCAAAACTAAGGAGATTCTTTCGCGCTACACTTTCAGCTTTCTTTGCCAAATCAACCCTAGTTTCGA